TTTGCACAGAAAAGACAGAGGCATTCGAGGAGGGGGTGTGGCAATTTGTATTAAGTTTAATATCCTTGCTGTATCAACCAGTATAAAAAAACTAAACGACTCTAGCATTGAGCAACTTTGGCGAATTATCAAGTTTGGTAATGAAAAACTCCACCGAGGATGTATCTATCGACCTCAAAATAATAACGATGATACCCCTTTTCATTCACGTTATATTTGGAGCAAAGCGAACTATCAAAAAATATCAGAATATATCATGGATTACGATTGGGACAAAAACTTTACTAGTCATTCAGCAAACTTTAACTACCAACTACTTGTAAACAAATATATCGAAGCTGTGTGCAAATACATTCCAGTGGCTTCTGTTCCCTTCAAAGCAAAAAAAGACCGTGGACCACACCGGAAGTTAGGGAAGCGGTTTTTCATAAACGTAATTTCTGGAGGCAATATGTCGCTTCTGGAACTAAAACACATAAAGCACGCAGGAGTAAGCATAAAATAGCTTGTAAACATGTATCAGAGGTAATAAAAAACTATTAAAAGATACGAACATCAGTTAGCTAGTGTTTTCAAAAATGACCCAAAGAAACCTTATGATCGCATCAAAAATAAAGAAGAAACTAATAACTCACTTCAACCTCTCGAAGATGACAATAAAAACATTATAACCGACGGTGCAGTTATTTCAGATATTCTAAACAATTACTTTCATTCTGTATTAACTACTGAAAAACCAGATTCACTACCAGATTTTGGATCACGTACAAATGTATCTTGCACTATAGACTTAAATTTCATATCGGCGACTTCAGTTCAAGAAAGACTAAAAATGCTCATTGAAACTAAGTCAAAAGGATTTGACGACATATACCCACGAGTATTACACAACTGCGCGTCAGCATTTGCAATTCCATTAGATATAATCTACCGAAAATCACTTTGCGATTCACAGGTTCCAGAGCATTGGAAAAGATCAAATGTCACCCCAATTTTTAAATAAGTCAGCAAGCAGAACCGAGCCAATTATAGACCAGTCTCACTAACATCGGTACCCTACAAAGTTATAGAAGGTATTATACATGAAAAAATTATAAATCACTGTGTTAGCACTAACCTAGTATCCAAAAAACAGCACGAATTTCTACAAAGTAAAGAATGCACATCGAACTTACTTGAAACTCGGGATATACTAACCGAAGCAATGCATCAAGGCTGCGCCACTGATATCATCTTCACTGACTTTGCGAAAGCTTTTGATAAAGTTCCACATGTCAGACTCTTACACAAACTTAAAGCCTATGGTATAAACGGCATAGTTTTAAACTGGATAGCAAACTGGTTAACGAATCGTTACCAACGGGTTGGAATCGGCAAGCCTAAATCTAAATGGAAATATGTAACAAGCGGGGTACCCAGGGCTCTGTGCTCGGTCCACTTCTTTTTATCTTATACATAAACAATCTGCCAGACTATATTACTCATCACATAAAGATTTATGCCGACGATTGAAAAATAATCGCAGTTCTAAAATCTGAGGAGGACAAAAGAACATTGCAAGTTGACATAGATAATCTTGTAGATTGGTTGCATAAATGGAATATGCCTTTCAACTTCGATAAGTGTAAAGTTATGCACGTCGGGCGTGGATACTCTAAATCTACTCAAACTTATTCGATGCTTGATTTGAGTGAAAACAGAATTCAACTGGACGTCACTAAACACAAACATGATCTGGGAGTACTTCTATCAGACGATCTTAAAATAAGCTATCAAGTCGAATCAGCAGCAGCAAGAGCCAACAGTAAACTTGGTAGAATAAAGACAACTTTTAGAAGTCGTGGACTCTTTTTGTGGAAAGTACTCTACAAAACATATATAAGACCCCAGTCAGAATTTACTATCCAGGCTTGGTCACCAAACAATGAAAAAGACATTGCTATTCTAGAACAAGTACAGCATAAAGCCACTAAAACAATAACGGAAATAAAGCATTTGTCATATGAAGAAAGACTCTTTCATCTCGGCTTAACTACTCTTAAAAAAAGGAGAGTTCAAGGTGATCTGATTCAACAGTTTAAAATTTCAAAAGGTATTGATCAAATTATTTTTGATAGCCCTCAAGTCTACGCACCATCGATTTACAAATATAACTTACGTGGACATTATCTTCGACTCGAACGTCAAAGGGTAAAAAACTGTCAAGAAAGATTTAATTTCTTTACTAATCGCATCGTGAATGTTTGGAATACGCAACCTTTAGACGCCATAAGAGCTGAATCAGTCAACTCGTTCAAGGTTAGTGTTCATAAATTGAAATTCGTAATAGACGAATGATCGGACACACGAGTGTCTTCTTTCATCATGTAAGTGCCTGGTGTAGCACTACCTCATCAAAATATATAAATGTATTATATAATTGATTTCTGAAATGAATAAACTCAAACTCAAACTAAAGTGCAAAAAAAGACACAAAGCGCACCGGGCAAATTATGAAAGAAATTATTGGTAAAAAAAACCATGCTCCGGTTTCCTGCCACAAATGGTTAGAGTCGATAACAAAAGTTTATATAAACCAAAAACAATAGCTTAAGAATTTAACAAATATTTCACACATATATGACCAACACTGTCTGAAAAAATCCCTAAGACCAAATCTTTGTTTACTGATTATCTAGAACCCCTGGATGCATTTGTTCAGATGAGTTATCTTCCGAACTAATGTTTGATGAGTTTGAAAGAGCCTTCAAATCTATTTTTAAAAATTAGGCAATTGGAGCAGATCAAATAATGGAAACGAGGTTATAAATTGCTTTGAAAAACTTAAAGCTGTTCTTTTTAAAATCTTTAGGGCTTCTATCCATCAAGGAGTATTCCCAGAATAATTAAAAATTGCAAAAATTATTCCTATTTTTAAAGAAGGGGACAAATCTTAAATCAGTAATTATCGCCATAGTTCTGTTTTCTCCACATTTTCGAAAATTTTAGAAACAATTATGTTCAACAGAATATACAAATATTTTCACGATAATAATCTACTTTATACCAATCATTATGGTTTCAAGAAAGATAATTTAACTGAACATGCAATTATCATATTTGTATGTGAAATCTCAAAATCATTCAAAAATTCACAATATACTGTTTTTGATAGGGTTGATCACCATATTTTGATTTATCAACTCAAATACTACGGAATAAAAAATAGAATTTTAAAATGGTTTAAAAGTTATCTATCTAACCGGAAACAATTTGTACCATTTAACAATGATTATCTACCCACTTTTCTTAATATAACTTGTGGAGTCCCACAAGTTCAATTCTTGGACCTCTACTTTTTTTAATTTATATAAATAACTTAAATAAAGCTACAAAACTAACGAGCATTATGTATGCAGAAGATACAAGTGTAATAAGTTAATCTTGAATACTAATAAAACAAAATGGATTTTATTTCATTCGATTACAAAAAAGCGATTTCTCCCATCAAAATTACCTCAAATCTTTATCGATTAAAAGGGAATAAAAAGAGATTTTGTTACAAAATTTTTGGTGTTTATCTTTATGAAAACATAACCATATTGATTATATAACCACAAATATTTCTAAAAACATGGGGATAAATCACGAATCTCAAAAAGAAAGTCTTAATTCAACTTTATAACTCATTTATACATAGTTATTGAAATTATGCCAATATTGCTTGGGGAAGTACAGAAAAAAGTTGCAACGTCGTTATATCCGTCAGAAACGCGCAGAAATTTTGCAAATCGCTTCTCTTATTCAAAGCATTATTTTATTGAAATGAGAGTTCTGAATATAAACGAGTTAAATATATTTAATATTTTATGTTTTGTATATATATGGGTAAACAACTTATTCCTAGCCGTCTTCAAAGATCTTTTCTCTTTTAAACCAATCAGTAAATATATTTTGAGAAATAAGAACTTTTTAAATGAACTTTTTTGTCAAACAAACTTTAATCAATTTTGTATTACCTATCGAGCGCCACACCTTGGAATAAAATTGTTTTGCGGAATTTTAATTTTGAAATACCTATTACTTTTTGCCTTTTTTAAAAAAAACTGAAAAACCTCATCTTTTATTAGATAATATATTGAGTTATTATTAGTAGTAAAAGTTAAAAATATATTTTGGTCTACTTTTTTATTGTTTATACGATGTCTAGGTTTATAGAAGTTTATTCCTACTTATTTTATTTATTGTTCTTATACTTTTTACTTTTTAATTTATATGTTGGTTTATTCTTGTATAAAATTCTGATGAGAAGATCCTCTTGATCTTTTTTCAGACACAGATTGTTTGTCTTGCAATTTTGTAAAATTTTTAAAATTTTTTTTTTATCTTTGTTAAATGCTTATTTAAGGTTCTGATCATTGCGATCTTCCTTCAAATACCTTGTTTGTATTTGTTATATCTTCTATCATTGTAAGTTTATAGTAATATTTTTACTTTTAGTTATTTAAAGCTGTACAACGATTAACAAAATGTAACCAAAATGTAACCAACAAAATGTAACAAAATGTAACCAATGGTTAACAAATGTCATAATAATAAACAAAAAACAAAATCTATAATTAGTCAGTTTTAATAAAAAAGCAAAACAAGCTTTTTACTTGTTAAAAATTAAGTAAATTTAGAAAAGGAGATAACGTTAATTCAACAAAAGCAGAAAAAAATTATTTACCATATAAACAGATTAGTTACTTTTCTAAACTTAACCGCAATTTATAAAATAAACGTCAATTTTTAGTCAATTATTTTTCAAGCCATCTAGTTATAATCAAAACTTTCGAGCAATATCAACGCAATTTGCAAATGTTTATCTACTAGTCGATAATGTGACGGTATTCAGTCAAGACAAATAGTCTTTTTTGAAAACTTAATGACTGGTTAACGACGTATCAATACTTGTAAACAAAGTCAATTGCTATTCATTTCCTATTCAGATTCCTTATAATCGCTTATAATTTCCTAAATTAAATGGGCATACCATTCACAATGCTTTGCAATATAGCGCCATTTTCAATAAGAAACATAGATAACTCAAAATGTCCTCCAAGCGTAGATATTTCTAGTGGGTATAGGTTATCCTCAGAACGCAAGTTGATATCAGCTCCATTTTTTAATAATAATTTAACGATCTCCTTATTTCCATTTTTACAAGCGTGATGGAGTGCTGACCAACCTGGTTTTCTAATAGCATTTACTGAAAGATTTGGTATTGCAAGAATGTTTTTAACATCTTCTAAATCTCCTCTAGCAACTGCATTGATAAGCTTTGTTTCGTTGTCAACACTGGAGTAGGTTTTTTCCAATAAACTTTTTCTTCGAATATTGTAATCATTAGTGTGCAAAATGTTTTGACTTAATTTTCGATTCATTACAAACAAATCTTCACTCGCTTTTTGTTCTCAATTTAGTTTTATAACTGATCATAAGTTTTATTGTTGCTTCAGCTACTCTTTTGTCTCTGGTACTGTAAAAGTCATTTAGTTATCCTAGTTTTTATAGTTAAAATTTATAACACGACTACGCAACTACAACAAAGGAATGAAAAAAAAAAAAAAGTTAAAGAAATCTATAAACAGCTGGGCATTATCTATAGTTTAAAAAGGTAAGCTTTTTAAACCGATATGAAATAATTCGATTAGCTTGCCGATTTTAATTCATTCAACAACCATTCATAAACAAACCATTGGGTTTAAATCTTTGCGTCATACAACTTTTTTTGTTTTTGAAATTTAAACATTTTCACTTATTGCAAGGCTGCAAAATACAGATAAACTTTGTGCGACAAATTTTTAACTCTTTGCGAGGGTGTATTCTACCGATAAATACATTAATTTTTTACTAAAAATACTATAGATTATGTTTAAATGAAAAGAAAACCAAACATAAATATCGCTCCTAATGAAACTCAAAGTAATCGAAGAAAAATTAAAATTTTGTATTTTCAATAAAAATATTGTAATTTCTGGAAAGCAAATAAAGTGTTAAAAACATTTTTTTCTCATATTTTATGATCAAGTAAATAATATTCGAGCTTTTTATAACAATCGCGTGACACGCTTTAATTGATAAGTTAAAAAAACTAAAATACCTTATGACAATTTTATAAAATACTTTTATGCACGAACTCACGTTTACCACGTTCACATTTAAATGCACGCATTTATAAACACTTTACGTTTACCACAAGCGTGTTTTAAATTCAAGTTACTCTTAAGTGCTTAATACACGGGAGGAGACGTTTATTAATTTTTGGACATTTTTTCCACCCACCCCTAGCTTATTAAAACCTTCCCTCTGTTTATTAATTTGTACTTATTATCAACAACAAAAAAACATCCCAATCAAAAAAGTATATATCAATCACTGATAAGAATAAAAACATTTTGTCAGGCTTTTTGTCAGAAGTTAGATTTTTAATTATTTCTCACCGCACTATAATACCTTATATAAGCATATTAAATTCTACTGAAATTATGAAACAGCTTTTAAAAAATGCGCATTAGAATTAGAATTACACAAGAATTAAATTGTTTTATTCGTATTCTGTAAAAAATTTCCACCCACTTTTTTATTAAGACCTTCCCGTTTATTAGATCTAGACTAAAATTCCCCTCCGTCCCTTCTTCTTGTATGCCATTGTATTGTAGAGTTCATAATACTTATTTAAAGATTGTCGTAATTACCAAACCTCACCGACTGCTTTTATATCTAAGCATTTTGTACCTTTTATAGTTATAGTTTGAACAGCCGATATCTTTTTAAAGTTGGTTAATAAAATAGAAAAAATTGTTCTTAAATTTGAGGGGAACTAAAATATCGAGTTTAATTAAAAACAAAAGTAATGAGTTGATTTATGGTAATAAATACTTGTTTGTAGAAAATTCTAAATTGTTTGTTAGTTTACACTAGTCTTTCGTTATACATATTCAAGTCGTTTTTCCTAATTCTATTTTTTTCTTGAGTGCGCGTGCTGAATGGTAGACCAAGGAGTCAATCAAACCAGCAACTAAAAGAATAAGGAGATATAAATATAACAAATACGATTAATTTTGTTGATCAGCAAAATAATTTTTTAAAATTAAAAAGTTTTTTTTTAATCTTTCAACACAATTTTCTATAGAAAAAGTTGAAACTTGAGAGTTTCAACTTTTTCTATAGAAAAATGAGAAATGAATGAGAAAGAGAGGAAGGGGTGAAATGAGAAATGGGATGAAAGAGAGAAACGAATGAGAAAGAGAGAAAAGGAAAAAGAGAGAAACGAATGAGAAAGAGAGAACGAGAGAAAGGGGTGGGTTCGGATTTCAAAAGGTTCAAATTTGTGTTTAATATTAACATGTAACAAACTTATAAACATTGAGAGGAAGGGGTGAAATGAGAAATGGGATGAAAGAGAGAAATGAATGAGAAAGAGAGAACGAGAGAAAGGGGTGGGTTCGGATTTCAAAAGGTTCAAATTTGTGTTTAATATTAACATGTAACAAACTTATAAACATTGAAAATATATAATACACACGGATATTCATTTTGAACACGTTATGTTAAAATCTGAACCCAGAGGAACCTCCTCTATTCGATCCTCAGATAAAACAAACACCGTATTCAAGCTTACAAAAGCAAACAATTTTGTTTAAAAACAAATTGTATTTAAGCAAAATTGTTTAACAATACATTAAAATATATTAAAAATCGATACAAGAGTTTGAAATTAGAGGATAATCTCCTATAATGTAACGGTCTCATTCAAACGGTATGGAGCGGAATTGAAATAGCTGGACGTTCACTCAGAAGTATTATTTGTTTTAGATAAATAAAAAAGCTATTTAATACTCTCTGAGGTGTTAACAAGTCATAAACATAAAATAATTACCTGTAAAAACACCACCTATAATAGCACAGACGCCAGTTAAAAAATGAGTGAAAGATCTAAAACAAAAATAATTATCATCAATAACAGTAGGTAAAGGAGCCATACTCAGCGACAAAGTGAAATAAAGTAAACCTTCTCTTTTCAGTGTATTGAACAAGCATCGGTGACAGATCATACAGTACAAACATTCCTAAGAAACAAAAAAGTTGATTTCGTTTTTATTAGTTTTAGCGTTTTTTAATTGTAAAAAAATGTTTAAAAAATAACTTTTTACTCACTTAAAAATCATCTTTTAAAAATAGAAAATTAATTATTGAAGAAATTAAAGTTCAGAAAATTTTATCCGATGTAATTTCAATCAAAAAGTTATCCGAAAATTTAATTTAATAACGAAATTGACAAACTTGTTCAACTTTCTCAGAATTGAACAACTTGGTTAAAGGCAAGTTTTATTAGAACCCATCGGGCATTTGTTTTAAAAATTGCGTTTTGAATGTCTTTAAAACGTTTTTTAAACGTCTACTAAATATTCTAAAGTTTAGAGCGTTTAGAAGACGTTTAAAAAACGCTTTAAAAACATTCAGAAAGTAATTTTTAAAAACAAATGCATGTTGTGAATATTCTTGTCCTATTCTTGTTTTACGTAATGATGGCAGATTTTAAACATTTTGACCATTTTTATATTCCTTTTTTTCAATTATCCACATAATTCAAAAATTTTTAGTCACTAATGGTAAATGATGTCCTAAAATAATCACATTGAAACTTGGGGTAATAAAATAGAATACAAAAGTTTAACTAGCCTTTCTAATTTTAAATTGTTGTATTGTTAAGTAAACTTTTTTGTTTGTATTTTTGCAATAGAGTTGAATTCCCTAAAGGAATTTTTATCAAAGTTAGACCAAAAGGAAATTGTAGGACAAAAAAAACAAACAAATTCTGAATTATACCCAGGCATCACTTAAAACCCAAGCGCAGACTAAAAATAAAATCTGCAAATCAAAATCAGCATAAGAAATAATGCAAAATAAATAATAACAAGAAAAAAAAAACAACCAAAACTTATTTTTACATAAATTTGTTTAAGAAAAGAAATTTTTGATGAACATTGAAAATATTCTAACAAATACGGAATTAAATAAAAAATAATAATAATAAAATTGAATATCGAAAATTTTGAATTAAAAATTTTTATACTTACAAAAAATTGCATTCTTTTTTTATAGTTATTAAAAAAGAATGCAATTTATATTCTTTTTCTTTTAATTTTCTTTTACTTTATTTTTCATTTGATGATAAACATGATTGTAAATTTTCACGTATCTCATTAGATTCATTGTTTTCACAAATTTTCATCAAACTCATTAGATTTATTTTTATTAAATTCATTAGATTTATTATTTTCATCAAATTTACACAGCTTTGCCGAAATATTTTCAATTTTCCACCAATCACAAAGTTTCTTCCACATTGAGAATGGAAGTATCAAACTTTTAAATCTTGTTTTTTAAATAATTTTGTACATTTGTTACTTCACAGAATAATTTTGTACATTTGTTACTTCACAGAATAATTTAATATCAATTATATCAGATGAATTAGGCACTTGATACATATCATTAAATACAAAAATTTATGTCGGTACAAAAAATCGTTATATCAATAGTTTTTTTTTCCCTTCTGTGTTACATCTCTGTTATTTTCATTAATTGGTATTGTGAGGTATTTGATTTTAAAGATTTGATGCTAAGTGTCTAGATAGATGAAATTGATAGATCTTTGATAGATGACATTGCAAGGTGTTTAGATAGATGATAGATGACATTGCAAGGTGTCTAGATAGATGGTAGATGACATTGCAAGATATCAGGTTTCAAACTACCACAATAGTTTTTGAAAGCTTCATAGTAATTTTTTTTTAGTCTATTTGAAAGCGTATTTGATACTACTCAGTTGTTTATTTAACAACAGCATAGTAAATTTTTTAGTCATAATGGTTGTTGATTTTTTTGATATATACTAATACATACTAATAGAAATACAAACTAAAACTTTAATTTAAAAAAAAAAGAAAACAAACAACTTCAGTAACAAAGATAGAAACCTATATATATATATATATATATATATATATATATATATATATATATATATATATATATATATATATATATATATATATATATATATATATATATAAATTATGACTATATTAGAATACTCTGTCATTTTTTAATTAGATGTCACTGGTGAAGAAATAACAACTGAATACCAAACTAATCATACAGAAAATATTACCAAGGATGTAGAACAAACTACATGCATTAATTTGGAAATTTTAGTTATAAATATTTTTTCAGAATTATCTGCAGAGTAAAATTACTTTGAGTAACTCACAATTTATAACGAAAAATATGAGTTGTTAATGAGATATCATTTTTTGGTTCCCAACTGCTTAAAGATCTGATAATCCAGTTAAATATAACACAGGATAATGCAAGTATCAATGAAGCTTTAATGAAAATGAAAAACATTTGTAATATGACAAATAACATTGATACAATTTATAAAAAAAAGAAGTGGTTAGTGGATAATGGTTTTTTTGTAAAACCAGTAGAAATACCTCTTGGCATGCGATTAGAACAAAGATTTTTAGCTGGTTTTAAAATCAATGCATTCTGTAACTGTAGAAGATAAATGTTATTTTGTTCCAATTGACTTATGCAAAGATAATGGAGTCTGTATCTGAAAAAATTATATTTCCTATGTGCAATCCTAATTCAACTCCAACAAGCGTTAGAGATTTCTTTGACAGACACAGATTTCACAATCATCCTTTTCTTCAAAAACTTTTTTACTTCATTTTTTTATTGATGCATTTGAAGTCACAAATGTGTTAGGAAGTCACACAATTGTTCATAAGCTTGAGGCTTTATACATGCAAGTTCGAAATGTTTTGTTAGAGTCTTTTTCTCTTTGGTTCAAGACAGACAGTATTTATTTGATTGGACTACGGTATACTTTAGATGCACATATTACAAGCTATTCATATGACATTATTAAAAAAAATGTTTTGTGTCAACTCCAAGAATTAGAAAGTGAGCAAGGGGTTCAAGTTATTGAAAATGGAAAATAAGTAACTACTCATGCAATAATTGTCATTTTTTCAGCGGATAATTTAGGAACACATTCTTTATTTGGTTTTATGGAAAATTTTTGTACCACATATTTTGTTGTTTTTCTAAATGGATTCAATCTAAATTGTAAGAAACCGATAGGTCAATAGCTTTTGAAAAAAAAACAATAGCGGACTACAATCAGTGTACTGAATCTCAATCAACTGATTATGATCTTTTTAAAACTGACATAAAACACTTTTTTAAAACACTGGTTGTTCTTTAAATTGTCTTAACTGGTTTCATTGTGTAGAACAAAGTACTGTTGATTCTATGGATGATTTGTTAGAAGGAGTAGTGCTCTTAGAAATATGCCTAGTGTTATGGAATCTGACCAAAAAAAAAATTTATCTATTTTAGATATAAATAATGCCATTAATAATTTTTTTACTCCTTGGCAGACAAAAAAAGAAAAACCACCATAAATAAATCTTCAAAATTTATGCATTCAAGCTGCTAAATCATTGTGCTTGATATGGAATTTGCCTCTCATGATTGGAAAATATATTCCAGATGGAGAACCCCATTGGAAACTTTTAATTCTGTTATTAGGTTGTTTAGATATTATTTTTGCTCCAGAAATAACAGATGGCCTTACTTACTCAATTTAAATTTTTAATTGAAGAGTATCATTAATACTTTAAATTACCCAGAAAACAGATTAATTCCAAAACATCACTTAATGCCGCATTATCCTAAATGTATGGCTAAGTTTGAGCCATTAAGTAGATATTGGTGTATGTGATTTGAGGCAAAACATTGTTTTGCTAAAGAACTTTCTTCAGTTATATGTATTTTTAAAAACATCTGTTACTCTGTCATGCATTTATATCAATTGTAACTTGCTAATCGCTTATTTAGTAGTTCATTGTATTCAGATAATAAACAGCTTGGAAAATGTGATAAAGTTATTATTGGAAATTTGAAGGTGGAAATTGGAACACCATATGTGAATCATTAAGTTTAAATACATTTGATAAAGTTTATGTTGCTTGTTCAATTACTTTTGGATCACATATAATCAAATTAGGTTTCTTTTTATGTTATGCTATAGTTAATAGTTATCCACAATTTAGAGAGCTGTATTGTTTATACTAGACCTATAACTTTTTTAGTGTTGAATCCACTAGAAACATTTTCACACTTATGTTGTACAAAGAAAAAAAAATTTGTTTAAACATATTGTTATTAATGCAGATAGTTGTAAAGATTATCATCGTATAACATTACTAACTTATGTGATCAAATGTTTGTTGGCGTTTTTTTTAACTGTTATTGTTAGTGGTTGTAATTTTATTATTAATACCATTGTTGTTATTTTATAATTATTTAATATCAACAATTAAGAATAAATGCATATTGCTAATTGCTTACAGAGTAGTGTTTTATAACAATAACTTTTTTTGTTAACTTTTCAATATTTATTGTATGACAGTGTTTTTTAATACTTTATAAAAATTTTTATGTTTATATAAGATATTTAAAAAAAAAAAGATTTCTGTTTTGATTTATATCATTTCTGACTGGTATGTATAAAATGTCTCTAATTTTGAAAATATGGTCTGTTGAACAATCCAAAAAAAAAATTTTGTCAATTTTTTTTTTCCGGTAGAGTTTATAAACTTGTTGTCATTTGCTATTGTAGTTGCTAATAAATTTGATTTATTGTCTGGAAATGATCTAAGATTTGTATTTCAAAGTGATGGAATTGATGATTTTGACTATGAAGTTTTGAAACATTTTTCTGGCACAAACATTACAGTGCTTGTCAACAATGAGAAATGGGTACCTAGCAACTCGGTCAACAAATTATCTTAAAGTATTTAAATTCTTTGTGTTTTTTTATGATTTAAATCCATTTATGTACTTTAAATTAGTTTTTGTATAAAAAACATGTTAATATTACATTCACAGGCTGTGTTTATACCTGAGGTTTGCGATTCTGCAGATTACACAGCCTGTGTTTACACCTGAGGTTTACAGTTCTGCAAGTATAAAAGATGACTTTTTGATA